CAGCTCGCCCGCCGCCTCCGGCACCAGCGCCGCTAGGGCCGTGCGCAGCGCCCGCACAAACGGGCCGTGCGCAGCGCGGGGAAACGGGCCGTGGCGCCGCACTGGGCACGTGTGCGGTACTGTACTGGTCACATAACGCTGCACTGGGCATGAGTGGCGCTGGACCTGGCACGTGACAATGTACTGGTCATGTGTGGCACTGTATTGGGCACATAGGTCTGTTCTGGGCACACGGCACTGTACTGGTCACGTGTGGCATGGCGTGGGCACATGTGGTGGTGTACTGGGCACATGTAGTGGCACAACCAAAGCAGTCACATATTTATTTCCAAACCAAAGCAGAGAAGCCTTGTGTGGTACACATTCATGGCGGCTACTACAGGCATCAGAGAGGATGGCCGCGTGTCAGCAGCGGTTACACAAAGCGCGTAGCCCGGGGCACAACTAAGGGCAAGGAGACCCTTGCTGGAGGGGGGACTCAGTGTAGATCCCAAATCTCGCAGAGCAGAGAGGTCAGCCTGGGGTCCTTCGCTCTCCAGGTCACCAGCACCTCAGCATGGTTGTGGTTGAGGGTCCTGAGTTCAGTCAGTCTCCCGATGAGGCGGGCAAAGTGCTGGGGGTCCTCGGGGTGGTGGATCTTGGAGTACTTGTACAGAATGCCCAGCAGCGGTTCTTGAAGCTGTTCCACGTGTTGCTTGTTCCTGAGGAGCGGACGGTCTGAAACACACATTAATGTGATGGGGACCAGTGCTGGCTGACTGCAAACGCCCCACTGATTTTGATGAGGCTATTAAGGGCAGGATTTGACATCCACGGAAGGTTATTATACTGATAGGAGAAACAAAATCATCAAAAGATACACCTTGAGCAGTTCTTTAAAAAGTATAGCAAAAATGCATAGTAGTTGCATACTTTTCCTTCCTGGAACTGTAGCAAGAGCAGATTTTCATTGCGAGGATCAGTTCAGTTAAAAATAGATCCTTTCTGGGCACATCTACAAGTTCATTAATGCACGTCTGCTACTGTGCATTAAATTTAGTACTGCTAATGTGAGGTACTAAACAAATCTGCATTAGGCTGCTCTAATCTGCAGTAGTGAAAGCACATGCTTTTTTAGTGATGCTTAATATGCAGCAGTCTATTTTTATTGCGCATGAGCATATTCACACAGTTTGGACGTGATGCTTTAATGCGAAGTGAAATACGGGACTACGCATTAAAGCGCACGTGTAGATGCACCCTCTAGGTAGCACACACGATGTAGTCATTTCTTTTATAGCTCTCTGTTACCTGAAAAAAACACAGTAGTTGCAACAAGCAGGGCATATTCTGTCTCAGTCACATTAAGTTCTCCCATGCTTCTGTAGAAGTAAAATAATGCCGTGATAAATTCCTCAGTGATTCCTTTGAAAACAAAATATTGAAATTTGGGGGTGGAAATCAATATAGAAGCACACTTTTTCTGTTATTGTTGATTGATTCTCTTAAAACTCTTGCATGTTGTTTTTCAAATCCCTCAACTATTTTGAAATAATCAGCAAGTCTATTAAAGAATTATAATAATTACAATGTGTAACAGTGTACACCTGGGAGTCCAGGCCAGGAACTGGTGCTGTTGTGTGAAGCACTGTAGAAACAACTAAAAGATGTTCCCACCCCAGTGAGCTTTGAATGTGAATCAAAGAAAAGAGAGAGCAGTGGATCCAGACAGACTGGTGAATAGGAGGAAAGAATGAGCATATTGGTCAGCATTAAAGGGAATGGTCCAAGCAGCTTAGCTACCTAACCATTTTCCAAGGTTTTAGTACAAAGAGCTGAGTTACCTGTGGTAGTGGTGGAAGTTGGACTGTCTTCGCTGTGAGACATTTCCAGGGAATAAACGGTACTTTTATCAAGGTCTTGATCATGACAACATGTAGTATGATCAGAAAATCTTACGTGACCTGGGGGAAGGAGGAGAGAAAAAGTCCACTGCTGAATTGAATTAAATTAAAATTTGCTTGCACCGTTTTTTTTGCAGAGAGGCATGTATTCAGGTAAGCATCCACCCAAACATGTAAACCAGTCACTCTCAACCAGGGTGGTGTGAGATCCTTTCAAGGGGCCTGCGAGGTGCAACGTAGTGTTACCACTGTTAGACGTACAAACACAATTTGCATGATAAAACCAGAGGCTTCAAACAGGAATCTGTAGTGTTAGAAACACGCTGGTCCGCTGTGGTCTTTTTGAGTTCTTTGCAATATACAAATCACTCTTTTATTTTCCTGTGGTCAAAAAACAAGTGAAAATGAAGAGCTGGCATTTTCTTAGGGGTACCTTGAATGTACTGAGTGGAGCCTTGAGCCCAGAAAGTTGAGAACCACTGATGTAGACATTCCAGAAGCACTGCTATCTATTTGGGACTAATGGGGAGAAAGAAAGGGCTCCTTTCATTCAGTTGGTTTACCTCAGGCAGGTGTTAGTTAAAGCTTATTTATTAGTACAACTTACTTTCACCCACTGATGACTGACATTCATTAGCTCTCTGGTTATATATCTGGGCTGAACGCAGAAACATTGCTTCAACTGTGGAACCTTTTAGTAGTGCAATCTGGTCATCGCTGGCTAAGCTTTCAAATCCTATAGGAAAATATTTAATAAGATTCAAAACTTGGGATGACTTTGGCTGCAGGCTACAAAAGTAAATTGTTCAAAAATTATTAGTATCTGCCTTTAACGGTCAGCAGTAGCCTTGACTGCAACGATGGCAAGATTATATGCCAAACAGCAAAGTAGAAATTGGAGTGATTGGCGCTTTCTACATAGTTTATATTTACATAGCAATAGATGTAACAGACCACAACAGTAGTCCATCTCCTTCCAGGAGGAAGTGCAGGAATCCCCAATATAGATAGGTTTGAAAATACTTGCCTGGAAGGAAATTTCTTCCTAATTCCTGCCAGTTGGTAGTGGTTTATACCACACAATTTGAGGTCTTACATCCCTTAAATGTGTTGTCCTGCTTAATATAATCATGGATGTGACCCTTCCGTATTAAAGAGAAAGGAAGTACATCTCATGTTGACCTGGCTTGTTTGAAAGACAGAGTAGAGAATGGCTTCTTAGTTTTTCAAAGCTGGCAAATACATGGCATTCCTAATCATTCAGATTTGTAGGTAAAATACAGTTGAATGCCAGTTCTTCTGAAGCTTTCATATTTTGTCTGAGTATACACATACAGAATAAATGTGTTCCTCTTAGATTAACGCTAAAGTATAAGGTACTTCTGAACAGTTTGTTCATTCTGCAGAGGAAGCAACTTACCTGGAAGTCTCTTTGTAAAATCCACCAGTACTTGCACATGAACCACTGCAGTCTCTGAGAGCCGCAAAAAACTCTCTTCAGGGTTTGCAGTTTCCTGTAGCTGAATGAAAGAAACCAGACAAGACTATGGACTCATGCTGGATGATGTTTCTGGATTGTTACCAAAAGAGACTGCTAAAACATGCACATTTAAAAATGTAGGTTGCACATTTAAACATTTAGGATACTAATTTAGGATACTAATAGTGAACATTTCAATATTGTAGCCTTTCTATTCTAACTACATACAAACTTTTTGGCTTCCTCCAAGGGAATTGTGTATTTTTGATGGGCTGCAACGATGTGATCAATAATCTGATGTTCCCCTGGAGTAAGTTCCATCCTTTCTTGGACCTATTAAGAAAAATCACAGGTAATGACAATGCCAGTAAGACAAAAATTATGGTAAAAATGAAAACATAAGCCTTAAATGTGAAAAATCTCCTACTTTTGTTGTGGACGATACATGTTTGTTGTTCACTCCCTCATCTTCTACCTTGACATTACAAAGGAAACTGCTTTTCTGTTTGCAGTTTTTTCTGAGTCGCTTTGACTTGCACTGGACTTCAGTTAGCAAACCTGTGAAACAGTATGAAAATACTTAAGTCTAAACAGCCCCTTGTGTTATTAGATGTAGTGTATAAGCCTGACACCTCAGGAGTTTGGATGAGGGGGTGCAAAGCACCCTGTTCAAGTTTGCTGAAGACACTAAGATGTGGGGGGATGTGGGCACAATAGAGGGGAGCAACAGGCTACAGTTGGACCTAGATAGGTTACAAGGATGGGCGGAGGAGAATAGGATGGGGTTTAACACGGACAAGTGTAAGGTGATGCACCTGGGGAGGAACAATCGGCACCATACATACAGGCTGGGGAACTCCCCTCTTGTCAGCACAGAGGTGGAAAAGGATCTGGGAGTCATTATTGACTCCAAGATGAACATGAGTCAGCAATGTGGGGAGGCGGCTAGGAAGGCCAACCGCACCTTGTCGCGCATCCGCAGATGCATCTCGAGCAGGTCCAAGGAGGTGATCCTCCCCCTCTATGTGGCACTGGTCAGGCCGCAGCTGGAGTACTGCGTCCAGTTCTGGGCGCCGCACTTTAAGAGGGATGTGGACAGCATCGAGAGGGTCCAGAGGAGGGCCACTCGTATGATCAAGGGACAGCAGGGTAGGTCCTATGAGGAAAGGTTGCGGGACCTGAACCTGTTCAGCCTTCAAAAGAGACGGCTGAGGGGGGATCTTGCGGTCTGTTATAAACTGGTTAGGGGGGATCAGCAGGCGCTGGGGGAGTCCCTGTTCCCCCGAGCGCCGCAAGGAGTGACCAGGAACAACGGTCACAAGCTGGCGGAGGGAAGGTTTAGGTTGGACATCAGGAGGCGTGACTTCACGGTCAGGGCGGCTAGGGTCTGGAACCAGCTTCCAAGTGAGGTGGTACAGGCTCCCTCCCTGGGGGTTTTTAAGAGGAGGTTGGATGAACACCTTGCTGGGGTCGTTTGACCCCAGTACTCTTTCCTGCCATGGCAGGGGGTCGGACTAGATGATCTGCTCAGGTCCCTTCCGACCCTACAAACGATGAAACTATGAAACTATGAGTTATTGACTATGGGGAAACCAGCTTCCTGCCTATGAATGTTCTCCCATGACAAGAAGTTCCAAGTTTAACCTGTGATGCTGTATTTTGTCAGTTGATTTCCATCAAAAGCCTGAATGTGCAGAAGAGTTAAACAGTCTTATTTCATACTCTTAGACTTTGGTCCATACCAAGGCAGCTTGGAGGCCATATGCAGCCCCTGGTGCCATGTCATCTGGCCTGTGGGGCTCCCCATGGGTCCCAAAATTTGGCATCCAGGGAGCAGTGGCACCTCTCCTTGCTGCAAAATGTGTGGACCCATGGGGAGCCCCATCAGCTGGGTAGTGAGGTCCTGTGCAATAGATCGGGCACACTGGTCCCCAGGGCCCGATCCCGATCCCCAGCCCCTTTCACTTAGTTCTAAAGATGAAAAAAAATTGCCAGAGAATTGACCGCAGTGACAAACAGGAGCAGAGCACTTACATTCTGCCAGCATTCCCACAGCCTTACACTTCTTCAGGCGACACTCCTGGCACTTCCGTCGCATGTACATGTCCATTTCACAGTGGCCACCGTTTTTACATCTATACACTGCATTCTTGGTGATACTACGTCGAAAGAATCCTAAGAACAATGGTATTTGGGATTATGGGAAAGAACCTGGGAAACCATGCTTCATTCCACGGTTACTTATTTAAAGAGTTCTCTATGATGTTTCTGAAATGATGGTATTATGTTGGGTTTTTTACGTGGCAACTTTTTATAACGGTCTTAGCATCATTATGATTTTTGGGGCTGCTTTATGACTAATGTTAACTAGTGTTTGACCAGGGTAACTCCCTTAAATCCATGCTTAGCAGTAAAGAGAGGGCCTATTAAAATTGGCAAGCAATCCAATCCAGAAACTCGTAAGTGACCACTTGTGGCATATTCAGAGTAGGAGATCAAGCCATAAAAATAAACCTTGCACACTGCATTCACTAAAACAAGCCAAAATACAGGCCTGGCAGGGGGGTGCTTGCAGCTAGGGAAAGCGAGTGCCACACCTCACTCTTTGGTGACGGCTGTGACCGTTGCCAGAGCTGCATTTCAACTGTCTAGGGCAAGCATCATCATCTATTATGTATCTGGTAGCTCCCACAGATTGCTGAGCAGTTCCCAAGTGCAGAGTGCCCAAACTGCAAATCAAGGAGACAGACAAAAGGGGAAAAGTTAGGAAATGGATAAAGTGGCCTGGGTTATAGTTATCTCCTGCAGCATTGCTAGGATGCATCAACAAAGGTATTTGCAGTAGAGAAACAGAAATGGAGAAGTCTCTGGCCAAACCTAATCTGGGTACAATTCCAGACATTTTTAAGACAGATATTGTGAAACTGGAACAAGTGCAGAGAAGAGCTACTAGGACAGGGCTTCAAGACACATTTGGATGTGTATCTTCCTGGGATCCTATGATCCCTGCTGACTTCCTGCCCTGGAGAAGGGAGCTGGACTGGATGATCCTTCGGGGTGCCTTCCAGCCCAAATGTCTACGAAATCTATGAAATCTAAACGGAGAAAAGCAGAGCAATTCTGACAAAAACAGATTAAAGCCACTGGGCTTATTCGGCCTGGAAAAATAAAGGTTGAGAGGGGAATACGATTGCTGTTTATAAACCCTTTAGTAGGGTAAACGCAAGGGGGGGAAAGAACTAGTTAAGCCAGGGGTGTCAAATGTATGGCCTGTGGGCTGGATATGGCCCACAGAGACATTTGTCCAACCCACCAGTAGCCTGGGTGGGCACAGTCTGCCACAATTCATGGCCCTTTGGTCCTGCTGGCCTTCGCTGTCGAGGATGGGCTTGGCTAGCTGGTGCAGCACCCTCCATACTCTCTCCAGCTGCTGGCAAACCCCTGCCTCCGGAGCCGTCACCACATCTGGATGTTGTCACTGCCACCACACCCCACTGCCTTTGCCTCTGCCACAGTAGCCACAGCAGCTGCCCCAGCAGCAGATGCCTTGAGATGGATCCGGCCCATGAGGAACCCTGCGGTCTCAATCCGGCCTGTGGCTCTGGATGAGTTTGATTCCCCTGATTTAAGCTAAAGGATAATATTGGCACAAGAACAAATAGGTATAAGCTGGCCATAAATAAACTTAGGCTGGGAATTAGAAGAAGGTTCCTAACTATTAGAGCAATCTAGTAAGTTTTTATGCCAGGATTTTACGGTGCGCTTACAGTATGAGGGACTGAACACAATTCTGAAAGACCCTTCTGATCCTATGAATAATGTTGGTTTTTGTGTATGCAGTATGACAGAATATCTCAATTTGCACAGCCTAGCAGTAGTCAACCAGTTTCTCATAGTTCTCACAGCAGAAGTGGGTATCTGGGTGGGATCTGGATGTGACAAGGTTAGTAGCATTTCACATACACTCATGAAGGCTGCCGTATGCATAGGGGAAGGAAGGAAAAGGGGCACAGATGTCTTCGTGACAGATCGATGGAACAGGGTGGCAGCACTGGTGAAAGAAAAGGGGTGGACCCAAGTGTAAAGAGACAAGGGCAGATAAGCAGGAAGGGTAGATTCATGCAGGTTTTAAAGGTAGGGACAAGAAGGTTGAGTTGGCTGCAGTCAGCAGGTGGATTTATGGGAGGCCCCCCCACAAATTATGCCACTCCTCAGCTAGAGAGACTCTCAGGAAGGTGAATAACAATTATGTGAAATATGACAATTTACAATTGCACACATGGAATGTTAGTACAGTTGCAATGAGTAACAGGGCACCATTTGTTCAAGTCACAGTAAACTATTTCTCCCTTACCTTTACAGCCTTCACAAGTGAGTGCATTATAGTGGTATCCAGAGGCCTTGTCTCCACACACAACACAGAACTCTTCCTGTCCCTTCACACGCAAGGAGGAGTGACTTATTCTTGGTCGTTT